AAAAGAGAGATTGTGGGTAAGTAATATACTGAGGGCAGTTACATAGTTGAAGGAAGCAGACTGCAGAGCGCAACTATTTAAAGAGATTAATGGAATCCCAACTTACAAGGGTCAACCAACAAACATGTTATTCTAACATTTCATTAGATATAACGAATGATCAACTCCTGAATCTTGACAGTGCACCTAATTCCTTCCTCTAGCAACCCAAAAGGCAATCTCATTGAAGTAGTTACTTCTTTTACAAACTTGGCATAATTGCAAATTACTCTTGCCAACCGCTTTGGCGAAAATATCCATAAGATATCACCATGGCAGAGCAAGACTAATGAACACAGCAATAATTAGTATGACCAATTGAAGTAATAGAACAAGAAAAATCTGAGACTCGAGTCAATACTAGAGCAATTGATTCCAGATGAGGTCCACAACATTCACTTTATAATTGCCAACGATTGATTTAGTTATCAAAATAAAAGAATACAATGACTAATACTCCGTTCATTGCAACACACACAACTTCTTTTGCAGACATTATCGTCACAAAGAGATGAAGTCCATGTCAATTGTCAACCAAACAAAATGTGGCAGGACAACCTTCAAGTGATCAAAATGGAGACGTCATGGATCAGACCTTCAGTCCAACAGTCAAAAGACCTATTTTAATGCCAAAGATGTACTCAATTGCTTAAGATGGTGCTCAAAATTGGCAAAGGATTTTACCTGAGAACCTCTGCAGAATGGCTGACCAGCAAACCAAGAATGTGAGAGAGAGACAGAGAGACAGAGAGAGAGACAGAGAGAGAGAGAGAGAGACAGATGTAATTTGTATGAGGTGCAGCTTCTTGTATAGACTACAGAGTAATTTGGAGGGCGCAAAAATGTTAGTGGCTTTTCCTTAGCAGATAGGGCTATGTTTTGAGTGGCGGAAAAAAGTTGGTGGTGTCTCTTTGGAAGCTCCAAAAGAAAGTGTAGATCACCTTCACCACGACAATAAGATAAGGGTTTTTTCTTTTTTAAAGAACTCTCTCTCTCTCTCCACCATTGCATTTCCCTTCAAACTCTTCATAGAGAGACTCTAGAAACTCCAATATAGGACAAAACAACTTGCAGCTTTTAGTTCATAGAATGCTGCTGTCAAATGCTACCAAAAGGTCTCCAGATTCTCATAATAAACGCTTCTCTTTTGAGCTGAAACAGTATTAAATCCTTCTTCGATCAAGATCGATCATGGGTCAATGTGAAATCTTTTGCAGTTGAGTCCCCAAAGAAAGTCTTCAAGAATTTGCCCTTTTCTTCAGCTCTGCTGAGCGTGCCGCTGTAGATTCCCAGGGAAGAAATAAAAAAGATTATATTTATTGTTTATATCTCCACAAGTTGCATTGCATGTACATCAAAAGAGTTGACTAGCGTCATTTTTTATGCCCCTCCTAAATTCAATTTTGTTTTTTTATGAGCGGCTATAGAGTCGTGCTATCGTATTAAGCGACCCAATAGAAAAGTGTCCCGTCATAGATATGAAATCGGGTTCGATCCGATCGTCCAATTAATTATTAATTAAAGCATGGAGAAATCAATCGCTATGCCGTATGGGTTCATGCGCGATTTTTCTTCTCCGCATAGGAGTTTATGCATTAATATTGAATTCTCTAGGGTCAATATCGAAACGTACTATTGTTAGGTGAATATTTCTTGTTTTGGCCAGATTTGTTAGGTGAGCTAGAGTGCAATATATGATTAGGTGAATCTTTACCAGCTGCAATTTGAAAAGACTGCAATATATGATTAAGATGCACCCAATCTTGAACTAGAAAAGATCAATTAAAGCAAGCAAGACAATCAACAACCAGATAAGACAACACTGATTGTGAAGGAAGATAACAAGGTCATGGCTTTAAGAAATTTAAAAGATAGAAAATATCGCATCTCGATTCGAGAAATCGAATTCGAGAAGCTCGGGATTGTCCTATCAAGTAGGGAGAATTTCCTCGAAAAAAAACCAAAAGAAGACGAATCTTTTAATTGGTGACAGAACGACAGAGGTTGCTTGGTTGCTGCTAAACCAGTCCTCATCAAGATCACAACACGACCAAGTCACCTTAGACCAGTAACCCTTCACCACGCAGGATGTCTGATTAAGAAGGACCTAATCAAAATTCAAGATGCAAAAAGAAAATTGGAAGGAGAAAAAAATTAAGACAAAAGACAAAATCAAGAACCGAAACGAGAAGCGTTTGAGTCCAACGGTTTTCGCTCCTTTGTTGCCTCTTTCTTTAATCATAATTATCGTAATGAATTGAAACGTGCAGAAGTGGGGACGATTGCAAACAAGCGAGAGATGGCAACGATTTCGTACTCGCCTTCCGCTTTTGGGACCAGCGGATAAAGCAAAGTTTCGAATCTGATCCACACGACAAGGGCCAGTTTTAGCCGTTGCTGGTCCTGATCCGACGGCTCATCCTTTTGCACCAGAGATCGGAGCCACCAAAATCATAAATTATGCGCAATGTAATATCAATATTTTAAACTTTTTCATGTCACGAAAATCCTAAAACCTTTACTGGCATGACATATCAATACAAATTTGGGCATTGGCGACACGAAGAAATTTTTTTGAGTATCGGTATCACCATGAGCAAAGTTTAGAATTTTTTGTGGTAGGCAAAGAGTATTTTTGTCGTATTAGTATAAATTAGGGGTACAAGTGACCTAAACAAGTTTGGGGTATCAGTGTTACAATAGACATAGTTTAAAGTTTTTTGTGGATATTTTTTCCTTTTTTTTAAATATTCTTTTCCTTTTTTCGTCTGAGCATATTAGTAGGATATGATAAGTTTTGAATGAAAAGTTTATACGCGAAATGGTGATAGATTTTTAATTAGTAGTTTCATAGGATAAGGTTACTTAAAGTTTATTCACCAATGCTTAAACACATTGCTTTTTTAGTCCAATTCCAAGTGCTCAATTCATTTTAATTTTTTGCTAAAAGTTTATTTTCTGTTTAATTTAGCGACCAACTTAAAGAACGAAAAAATTATTGCCTAAAAAGAGTAATTCCTAACTAAAGAAAGCAATAAGACGCTTTCTACTTTCTTTATGAAAAAAAAAATTAAAATAGTAATCAAGATCTTTTACAACACTAATTTAAAATACTCGCATTTTATCACATAAAATAAATGCACATACATATTTTCAATAAACCCTCCTTCTCCCATGTAATTTTGCTTTTTATGATAAAATACTCGTTCTTGTTAAGTAAATGAATGGTAAGTGTATAAAACACGTCTTTCTATACTCCACTTTTTATTGACGTAACATCTCAATTGTCATTTATACTCGTTCATCTTTTAATTTCTCGCTAGATAGCAAAAATAGTACTTAAATCCATTATTAGTTGCAATACTTTAAAAATATAACTTTTAAATAATATATATAATTTTAAATGAGAATAACATCATTTTTAGATTCTCATTTTTTAACGGACTTTAAAAAAAAGCCGGTATTTACCCGTCCATACGGTGTCTTGTAATTTCCATCCCATATAGTAGTATATGGCATATACTACTAACTAGACTGAGTTTGGCCAGTTAAGGAAATTTTCTTCAATTAATAAATTGTCGCCCCGAGAAAGAAATATTATAAGGAATATTTCTCAAGTTCTTTGACATAGAGATCTTCTTTGCCCATATATATCTATTCTGATGATTTTCGTATGTCAAATGACGATGCGCAATTACAAGATACATGGGGACGTTTTGGGTCATAGGAATATTTTAAGGAAATATATAGTACCCTAGGAATCCTTCACTTCTAATAGTACAAGAGAAATTTAGAGATAAATGTATCAGAATTCTTAAAACTTGTCGTGAAAAGTATAATTGAGTTCCAAAATTTATCAAATTGATGCAATCAAATTTCTTCATTAACTCATCCAATTTACCTAAGGGGAAAAGCTAATGTAGTGTTTTTTATTATTTTTCGGGAAAATTCCAAAAAAATGTCTGAAATAAACATTGTTTCAAATAAGAGCATGAAGTGGTTATGTCAGTTTCAAAGAAGAGCATAACTTTCTAGATGGTCAAGAGCATTTTTGTACTTTACCTTTTTTTGAATTTTTTACCTTCTTTTCTTTTTTCCTTTTTCTTTATTTTTTCCTTTTTCTCGTTTTTTCTTTCTGTTTTGCCGGTCGCCGGCCACCGGCAATGCCCAAAGAGCGCTAGGCAAGGGTCACCCTCGCCCGATCTGGTGAGAGCCGGCGTTTAGCTATGGCTGACAAGGGCGACCTCACCCAGCCTTCTTCGAGCATCGCGGGTGACCAAAAGAAAGAAAAAATTAGAGGAAAAAAGAAAGAAAAAGGAAAAAAAAGAAAAAATAATTTAAAATTAATATTGTCTTTGGACAAAAATATAATTGAACTGTCGAAATATTTAACCAGCCGATAACAGAAGAAAAAAGAAAGAAAAAGGAAAAAAAGAAAAAATAATTTAAAATTAATATTGTCTTTGGACGAAAATATCCTTGAACTGTCGAAATATTTAACCAGCCGGTGACCGGCGAGATCAGGCCCTTATTTAAAAAAGTCATGGCCACTTCAGGTCCTTATTTGACACAAAGTCCACTTCAAATCCTATTTGAAAAAATGAAAGCATTTTGGACTCTTATTTACAAATTTCCCTAATTTTCCTAAGGGAGGTGCTGATGTGATTATCATGTCAGCTATTTCAAGAAAAAAAGCACTGAAAAACTAAAAGCAAAACTGGAAGCGTTGGTCCTCCACGAAGCAAGCGTTCCAAGATCCAGAGACGTCCTGCTTCTCAACCGAAATCGGTGCGAACCGGGTCCCCTCGCGGCCGCAGTTCGTGCAATCAAGAAAACCCCGCAAAAAGACAGATGAAAACTTTCTACAGATTTCTTTGAAAAGATCGAATTTTTACAGTTTACCTTCATCTGGGTGCGACGATTCCGGAACCTCTTCTGGTCCCCCAAGCAAAAGGCCTCTCTGCTCAGCTCCAACCTTTACTTCTGCTCCTCAGGATGCAGACACTGATTGAAGAACCTAAAGCCAGCCACAAATAACTAAGAAAATGCCTCTGAGATTGAACGAATCATAGTCAAAATACAATCCAAAAGAAGAATCTTTATATGGTAATCCTTTTCTTTTCATCTGGGTACTGTGAATGTGAAGCAAGAGATGGGGAGCCGTACGCTCTGAGTTCTTGGATTTGCTGGGGAGCGTGTGCGGCGGTGGCAGCGCTTCCTCCTCCTCCTCCTGGGGGTTTGTCGGAGGAGGAGGCGCCCTGGCCATCGTCGCCTGGGGCTCCGCCTGCCGCCGAGGTTGTCGCTGCCGGGATTTACTCTCTTGCTCTTTGCTACTCCTCCTGCGGAGGTGGTGAATAGAAAGAGAGAGAGAGAGAGAGAGACGATGGTGAGGATGTGGGATCGTGCAGAGAGCGAGAGAGAGAGGGAGTGCAGGGGAGTTGTTGAACATGGAGTCGGACGGAGAAGGGCTCGAGAGGGGCTGGCCGCACGATTGCGCCGGCGGCGGCGGGTACGGAATACCAGCGGCGACCCTTGCCCCTCCTTCCGCCGCCGCCGCCGCCGCCTCAGCCGGTGTCAAGTAATCCCCAGGGTCATGAGCGGCACCTTCGAGTTTCTCTTTTAATTTCTTTTCATTATTTTTCTAAAATAGCTTACATGACAACCACATCAGCATTATTCTTTTAAGAAAAATAAAAAATGTCTCCTCAGCCTTTTCCTTTTAACTTAATTAGACGAAACTAACGAAAGTACTCGATTACGCATTAATTTGATAATTTCTAGGATCTAATTATATTTTTTGAAAGTTTTTAGAATTTGATTGTACTTTAAGAGTAAGTATTAAGATTTTTAGTACACTTGTCCCAAAAAATTTTAAGATTGTATTTATTGGTTGAATCTAAAATCCGATCTATTTAGAAAATCGGACAATATGCTAAACTAATATACCTACAAGTTCTTAATTTCAAATTGTTCTTATGATTTTAATAGTAGAGATTTGCATATAAACACGATGGAGAATTACTTCCATATTGGAATACCAAAGCACTTATATAAGTTCACAAGAAATACCAGCCTCTTCATACCTCAGTGCTTATGTAAGGGTTGAAGTATTTAATTTATTATCCGTTTGTTTCGCGAAAAATGAATAATTTGAAAAATATTTTCCTAAAAATGATTAGTTATATCGTTTGAAATAATTGGCCAACAAAAGAATATTTTCATTATCGATAATAATTTATGCCTAAATTTTTTTATAGACGATAGAAATATTTTTCCTTCCTTAAATTTTTATAAGATCATTTTATAGGAAAATATCTTTCAAAACGTGAGTCTTTCGTGTAACAAACTGACCATTAATGTCAATTTTTCCTCTAACATGAAAGGCAGGTGACATTGGTTATTAATAGTGTTTAGGGTCCAACGAGATGGAGTTTTGTGAAGAGAAAATTGATAAAGTGAGTAGAATAAGACACGGGTTTTAAAAGTCTTATATATTATAAGATCATGTGTTTGCTTCTATAATGAGATCAAGAAGCCGCAAATTTGTGAGATCGCTTAGAGCCTACATATGAGTCTCTGAGAATTTTGCATTTGTGAAATCTCTATGCTTAAGGCACAGAGAGATATGGTAGAAACATGTGGAGAAATCCTAAAACTTGTGTCAATAGTGTATTTGAGTTTTAAAATTTTCATTTCATTAATTTGATTCCTGAAAATTCCATTAAATCACAAAGTCCAATTGACTGAAAAAAAGGCATTTTTTAATGGGTTTATACCACTAAAAATCCTAAACCAATATCCTATGATATATTTACCCCAAAGTAATTTCGTCTCATAAAAATCACAAAATGGTATCATTGACTCAAATCTACCCTACGTTAGCATTCCGTTTAATATCCCATTATAATGTATATGTGTTAATACACGTCTGCAAGACGAATTTAACATGGAGAATGACAATTTCAATGTGGAAAATCATGCATGTATTCTAAAAGAGGGTGGATTTAGATTAGGTTTACTGATTTGGAATTTTTTGTTAGATGAAGATTAGTTTGGATAAATGTGTTTGGTGATACCAGTGTGGGATTTTGCGTAAGATCAAAGTTAGTTTGGGCGTAAATGAGCCATGAGGGTATCGATTTGGGTTTTTCGGTGAGATGAAAATTAGTTTTGGATAAATGTGTCATATGTCCCAATTTGAGATTTTTAATGGTGTTAACCTCTTTTTTATTAGTTTTAAGTGAATGGAAATCCTAGAAGACCTCGAGTATTTCCATAATTTGGTGAAATATTGATCCACGTACCTCCGTGGCAATATGTACCAACATCAAGATCAAAAGTGAATGTTTTTTAGCTATCAAAGTTGATAATTTGTCAATCCTTTCGGTTTTTCCACATCTTACCCTAATTACTACACGTATCGTGAGCACTTTTCCATGCGAAAAGTTTGGCCAAAAAAGGACATGAGAGTCCGTCTATGTTATTAGCCAAAGGGTGTCTATTCTTAGTTTATATTAAATCTAAAATTAGCTTATACTAAAGATAATAATCATTATTATTACTAGAATTTAGCAACTGATTGAGCAAGCTCTTATTTGGAAGGCGATCATTTTGTGCATGGTTCCACTTTTTCTTCACATCCAACTTAATTTTTAATGTTGTCTGGACTAAAAATTTAGAGGGTCAATACTACAAAAAACCCTAAACTGGTACACTTGTGATAAATTTATCCTCTATTAAATTAGATTAATACCACGAAACCACAAATTAGTACACATATGACAAATTTACCCTCCGTTAATTTCCATTAAATTTTACTGTCAAATTACTAAGTTAGATAACACAAGACAGTTGACAGGTGTATCGGTTTGGGATTTTACCCCTCTGTTTGTCACAGACGTACCAATTTATGATTTCGTGGTATTAATCTAGTTTAATGGAGGGTAAATTTGTCACAAGTGTACCGATTTTTTTATTTTTTATGGTTAAAAAATTAATTTGGGGTAAATTTATCGCAAGTGTTCCAGTTTGGAATTTTTTGTGGTCAAAAAATTGGTTTAGGGTAAATTTGTCACAAATGTACAAGTTTAGGATTTTTGGTGGTATTAACCCAAATTTAGAAGAGCAATAACTTTAAAACCTAAACTTGGGCCACTATTGACCAAGTAATGTGAGTAGTTAGATTTAACAGGTTCTATATGGGATCCACATGATTGACGATTCACGTCATTAAGTCCACGGCGGATCTAAGACAAGGCAAGAATTTGCCATATGTACCGTATCATATGTAAATTTTATCTTGTTATTACGGTACGGGATTTAAAGGTACTTGCGTCAAAGTGTTGAAGAAATTACGTTATAAGCCCGCCCATGAAAAAACTATGTTAAAATATCAAATAAGAAAAATTTAGAGTTTCTAATGCATCAACCTTTTCACAATGTTGGTTATTAAAAATATTTTACGGGTGAACCGTTATAATTTCATACTCTTATTCGATGAATTTCAATTATGACTTTTCCACTTCTAGGTCAACACGAAGAGTTCAACTTTTCTCGATTACACGTCAATATCTGGACAATTGAATATTTGTCTTGTTATTCTAGTCTTCGACTTTTTCTTTTCTTTTCTTTTTTCTGCCAATTGCTATACTCTACATAACGAATCTATTTTCCCAAAAAGTGTTGACGAAATATCTTTCGAATCATGGATCACTGCGATAAAAGGTGTGAAAGGACTTTTGTTGGTTCTTGGATAGGAATCGTATGACGAGGAATTAAAAGTACTAAGACCGTAAACAATCATATCAAGCCATGTAAAGGTATTGAAATGTAAAGATGAATTGAAGATAAAACTAATTTGTGTTCTTTGATTGATTGGTAGACCCTTTTACAAACTACAATTCAAGTTTTTTTTACTGCCAACGACAATTAACAACGGTTCAAAGAGAAATTAAGCGCAATGCTCATGTATCCTACAATTCAGTGACTTCTACGTACAAACAATTATTCACAAATCACCAACTCCACCATTCCGACGGCTGTGCTTCCACTACTTCACCGGTCGTGTCATTTCTTCTACTCTGACAATTATATTTTCTCCACTTCTTCGCATCAATTGCTCACGAGCTTCTTGTCTCCACAATCTTCTCGGCTCAACTACTCGACAATTATGTAAATTTCTCCCTTTGCGAGGGTTTCTCCTACAGTTACGCCTAGGGTCGCTGACTTCACCATTTATACGGTTACCTCATCTTGCCGATGGTTATATCAATCGTGGCTTTTATCGTTTGAGTAAATCTTGACTTGTCAACATTTCCTGTTGAACTTAGCCATTTTCATTTATATCTTCTGTCGGCTAAATTGGTTTTCTAATAAACTGAATTTGCCGGCTATCCTTATAAACACTTAGCCTATCTTTCCTCCATCGCATCTTGCTCGGTCTCATCTAGTCTGGGTCGACAGTCAAGAACCAAGTTTTTTTTTTTATATTAACATATGCTCCTTTTAAAAGAATCAAATGGTTTTTTATTCTTTTAATATCTAGGCATAATTGTTCTGTAAATCGAGGAGACGTGCATTTAATCACCCAACCTTTTCATCTCACACCTTTTCACCCGCTACTGTGCACTTCTCTTGTCACGTCTTTCATGAAAAAAACCGCCATGTCATACTCATTTAGGAAACCTATTCATTGAGGCGACATGCATCTAGCCAAAAACTGCACCTTATCATTTGCTCCTTTTCCCTTTGAGTTTGGGAGCCAGGTCGAAGATGATATTTGATCAAATCATTCTTTGTCCTGTTTTAAGTCGCTTCCATTTTCATCAGTTTTTGAAGAAATGCTTCCCTCGCCATCATAAAGAGATCCTCTCTATCCATCGGGATTTTATCTCTGAACAAGCCTGATCGAATATAAATAATTGCTGCATTTCCAATCTTTGATGAGAGATTTTTGTAGTGGTATTTGAGGTTAAGACCTTATATATTGTCCACTTGGAAACAAATGCGAATCGATTTGGCTTTAGAATTCTGCTGGCTTAATGTAGACTTGCAAATGCCATACTTTAACATACATTAACATAACAATTTGAAAGGAAAAGATACTTTTATGATGACATAAATGAAACTAATTATAGATTTAGGATTTGTTTGTTTTACCGAAAATTTCTTGTTGCTGAAAAGTAAATTCAAATTTAGAATAAGCAAACTACTTTTGGAGTTTGATTGAACTAAAAATGAGTTGGAAAACCCACCCATCGGTGGCCGCGTTGGTTTGCGCTCAGTTCCTTTCACGAGAGGTCCTGGGTTCAAAACTAGCCCATCGGTGATTTAAGTGGGGGGTCGTGGCGGTGGGATGCTGCGCTAGCCCCCCTCGAGGACTAGTCGGGCATCACCGCTGGTTTGAGCCCTAGCTCGCCGGCCGCGCGGATACCTCGATTATCAAAACAAAAAATGAGTTGGAAAAATTGATTTTATGGTATTTGATAATAAGTGAATCAATTAAATGCATCTTGCATATTAAATATGACATATAATGACTAAAAACTGGAATCAACATCTTCTTTGTGTATCATGTAATCCATAAAAAAATAAACAAAATTGCAAAGAAATTAAGAAAAAAATTATGAAATCATATTCGTTAACGATTTCATGTATTCAAGATAACATGGGCATTAATGAGTTATATTCAAGAGATGGTAGACAAGGTTTATGAAAAAAATAGATGACACTTAACAAAATAAAGAATTGATGAGAGATAGAAAAGAGAAATAAGAGATCTATTCATCTCACTCGTATGTGCAACAAGAAATCAAGAATAATGATTTCCTCCTTTTCAAAAGACGAGTCTCTTTCCCCAATTTAAACTGGTCATTTTTTGTCCATGGAAAACACTTTTCATAGATCAGCTAGTTTCCCGTCATTCAAATACCGGAAAGTCCGAAAATAATTTTTGATAAATGATTTTTCCATCGAGCAAACCTACCCTCAAGATCAATCGACAAGATGCCCGCGAGAGATGACCAACTCGGTACCGAGATGGGAAAGAAAGGAGGATGGAGCAGTTATGTGGTCTATTTCGAATTTGGAATGCGACGTGGTTGAAACCAAAGAGAAACGCCGGATTTTAAGGCTTGGCGGCTGAAGGCAGTCGTGCAAAAGCGTCGTTCATCTCCTTCAGATTCCTTAAGAGAAAGTGCTCCCTCCCTCATTAGATTACTACTGTAGCCACTAATTGCCATGAAGGAGACACTAATAGTTCAAAAGTTGACGGCATAGATGATGTAGATGCAGTGAATTCATCATGACCATAAGCCTATTTTACTTAGAGCCTGTGATTTTCACTTTTACTACGGTGAAAAGTCTATGGTAAACATGAAGAGAACAGATGGAACATCAATGATTTATCTGTGGATACAAACTCGACACTGTTCCCATCAATGTCAGCAATCCTGAAATCTACCAACCGGGCGATTGCAATCATGGAAAAAGCACCCAACTTTTCACGAACATAACATACCCCTCTTGATCCTTCCGCTTTTGGGTTTTGCTTGCGATGGAGAGGGGTGATTCGATGGAGAATTGTCCCTTTTGCGTTAACATCAATTTTTGTGCTATTGTACAGTACACTTTGCAATTCACAAAGAGAGAATATGAGAGGGAATTACTTTTTTTTTTTCACAATTGTTCCGTTCTTCAATGGGAACAAGACAATTTCGTGCGTCGGGTTTGGTCTAGCTCATCAAGAGGCAATCCATACCCGATCTATATATAGTCTTGCCACGGGATAAGAATACTACGAATGTCATGATTTCTTAAAAAGCTTTTATTTAAGTATCGTAATTTTCAATCAATCACTTCCGCGCGCATAAACAAATGGTTATAAGAGGAAGCAGTTGAAAATAGGAAACGAGTAACCATTGATGTCATTTCTAGTCTTTCTGTTATTCCATTCGGGGTAATTTTAGGAAGTTAAAAAAATGAGACCAAATTCACTGTTTTGTGAAATATAACCATTTATTTGATGAAACATGAATAATTTAGAATATATTTTTCTAAAAATGATCGTTTGTGTCTCTTGAAATAATTAACCAATGACAAATGTTCTCATTATTGACAATAACATATGTCTAAATTTTTTCGTGGACGATAAAAAAATTTTCGCTCTCATTTTGTAAGAGATATAAGCGACCATTTTCTGGAAAATATTTTTTAAATCATTCATTTTTCGCGAAACAATCGAAGGTCTAATTTCTAAAGAAATCGATTACTTTTTCTTTTCAAATTTCCATAGGAGAAGAAACCTTTCTTATTGCCAAATTTCCTTAACATGATGATGGGAAAATGACATAAATGGTTCCTGAATTTTGGCCAAATGTATAATGTCATTACTGAATTTTTAATTTTTTCATTGTGGTCTCTGAAATTTCGCTCGATGTGCAATGTCAGCATTGAACTTTTAATTTGTTTAATATGATCCATGACCTTTTGATACATATTAAATTGAGCCTCATGAACTATATGAAATTGTTCGATATTGTTCTTGAATTTGAATCAATGGAATGATAACATTAGATATTTTCATATAGTTTAGGGACTAGATTGAACATTTACAAAAAGTTCGGGACCATATCGAATAAATTAAAAGTTTAGAAACGACATTATATATTACGCTCAAGTTCAGAGACCATATTGAACAAATTAGAAGTTTAGAGATAACATCACACATTGGGTTAAATTTTATGAACCATATTAAATAAATTAAAAGTTCAGAGGTAATATTATATGCTGGGCTAAAGTTAACAAATTAGAAGTTTAGAGACAACATCACACATTGGGTTAAATTTTATGAATCATATTAAATAAATTAAAAGTTCAGAAACAACATTATATGTTGGGCTAAAGTTCAGCGACTGTTTATGTAATTATCACCGTGACGATAGGCTCACTTCACCATCTTCGAACACGTGCAAGCAAACCAAGGAGTGAGAAACCAGAAAACCAATAACTTCGATTGTTGTTTGCAAGGGACAACGAGTCACTCAGGAGTCAGGACCCAAAAATTAACAATTAACAATTAACAAACGGCAAAATCAAAAAAATCAAAAAATTAATAAAAATAATACACAAAACAATCAACGAGGTGGTCGTCGTCTTCTTCTTCCTCCTCCTTCCTCTCTCTTTCGTTTCTCTCCTTTACGACCGCCATCTCTCTCTCTCTCTCTCTCGCTCCGCCGTCTCCCCAGATTCGTCCCCGTTTCTTTCCCCTAAATCAGAGGCGAGAGCAGCTATCGTAGCGAAGGAGGAGGGACGGAGACATCGTCCGCCGCCGCCGTCGCCGTGCGAATCCATGGAACAGCTCATCAACTTCATAATTCGGCCTCCCAGGTGACGGATTTGCGACATCCCCCCGGCTCTTGATTCCTCGTGTCTTGATGCTCTGCTTGCTCGCTTTCGAGTTCAATCCGATTGGTGGGGTTGGTGGGTTTGTGTTCTTTTCGCTGCCCGTGAGGCTGTGATGGCGAGAATTTGACAAATCTTGCGGATCGTCTAGCTATAGTAGAAACAATCTGGCCATGTATAGAGTAGTTGTCGTTAACTGGTTTCGCGGCAAATAGAAAATCTGGGGCTATATATATTGTTTTCCTCCTTTGTATTTAATGCCTTTGTATTTGGGGGTCAGCTGTAATGCCTATCCTCAAGTGTCAGCCGTTTTCAGGATCTTCAGATCGTTTGATGTTGAAAGTGTATGATAGCTCAGCCTGTGAAGCTTGTGTCCGCAATTTCGCGAAAGTATTGCTAGATATGTTATTTGAGAGTTCTTTCGGTAGTCTCTGCCGCGACGCGGAAACCACATCGTCCCATCAGAAGCACGTGAATATTTGTCGGACGGGCTTAAATTAGTACCTTTTCTTATCTTTTTGAAAGGAAATTGCTGCTGAGATTCGTTTTCAAAATCTGTTGCTGCTTTTGTTCAGTTTTACAGTTACCGAAAAGTTCCTTGGCATATGCTTCTGCTAGAAAATCTATTGCATTACACTTGTTCTGAACATATTACTTATCAAAAAGATAGCCACCAGCTTTAATGCATCGGAGCTAGTAAATCCTTGTTATGATGTTTGGTATCATTGAAAGTTGATATATCCGTACTCTGGTCTGTCTGATTGTTTAAACGTCAACGTTCCATGACACTGAACATGAAGAGAAGTAATTGAAGGAGGAGGATGTTCACACATAAAATCCTTTTGAGTTCTGAAAGTAACAATCTAGTCCTTAAGCCTACACTGTAGTAAGGCATTCTAACATTTTTAATGTGACTTTAACGTTTAATTAGCCGTCATTCATTAATGTACATGGACAAAGATGAGGAATCTAAACAATGTCAATTATTGAGTTTCATTAATTAATTGGCCCCGGACCTCCATTATGCAGTGTCCTATCTTCTGTTGAGTATTTTTCTCATAGATTGGTTAATTTAAGATTGTCAATGTCCTCATTGCTGACCTGCAGGGCTGAGTATACTGCCAAATATGATTTGTTAGATGACGAATTCATGCTGAAGGGAAAATTGTACCATAGGAAGGATCTGGAGGTAAGATATTGTTTTCCGCATTCTCTTTCTGAGAGGTACATAACAGAAGCTCTTCCTTTGACATATGGGGCCTTCCACCACTTTGACTAGTTAACAATACCCCTTCTTAAATTTCAATGCCGTTTTGATTAAATCGTGTCTGAATATCTCAATCGCCCTTGCAAATGGAGAGTTTTCCTCCCTACTCTTATGGTGCTTTCTTCAAATTATCGGAAAAGTTTGAATCATTGGCTGAAGCTTCTTGTTCAGCAGTATAAACCAAAGTTTATAACTGCTTAAAATGCATAAACAAAAGAAGCCTTTTGCCATTTGTTATCTGTGCATGTTTACCGTCAAGGCTGCTTTAATTTTGGATTAGTAAAGATAATTCTTCTTATTTGATGACTAGAGGCGTTAGAGGAGGAATATTTCGTTAATCGCTTGAGTATGTTTTTTTCCTTTTATGATGAGAGATTGATAGTTTGAATGTAGTTGGGAACTCACAGGAAAGGAGTCGAGGCCTGTTATGGGTGTAAGTGATGCATCGATGTACTTCCTGAAAGTTAAAAAAAATTAGAAATCACCAAAATGGAAGACTAAAGAAGTGTTGGAGATGGTGAATTCGATGAATCTTTTAGTGCCCCTCCTTTTTTGCTTTCATTCTGCTTATTTGTAGAAGTAAGAAAATAAAAGGAAAGGTCTCATACATAGCTTCCAATTTGAGACATCTAGAGCCCATGCAAGATTTACTTTAGAGTTCAATAATGGACACTAGGTTCTATACACGTTTTGTGGTGGTGCTTTTGCTGATACTCTATTCTTCTGCATATTATGGTTAGTAAGCTGGCTTTATGGTTTATTAGTGCTCATAAAAGCTGGTTGTCAAGCCCTCTTCTTGTCAATGGCAAATCTTAGTTTACCCTGATAGTTATGGGGAAATGAGGTCTTTATATATGTTAAGTAAATTGAGATTCTCTTTTTAATATGGATTGTATTGAATTTTATGCAGGTTGAGAACAGTCGAGGATATATCCTTCAGTGTAGTCATTACACGCCAGTTATAAGTCCTGAAGGAAAACCTCTGCCATGTGTAATATATTGCCACGGAAATAGGTTAGCTCTCTAATGGAAAGTTTTTTTTTTTTGGGTAAAGAACAGAAAGTTGAAGAGCAGGCTTTTTATTTTTATTTTTAAATATTGTCATTTTTAGGTCTTTTCTACTGTCACTTACTCTTTTTCCAGACATTTTGAATGTTCCTCTTACTGTGTTGATACTTGGAGAGAAAATATATGGTCTCTTGCTTGTCATATGCTAAAAAGGTTCCATTTGTAAGTTCTTAAGAGGAATGGTTTTGTAGTTGCGCTCATATGGTTAGACAGCATGGTCGTCTGTTTTTCTTAACATATTTCTGCGAGCTGTTTTCATTCTCACAAGTCAGTCATTAGCATAACAACATTGACTTTAAGTAGATTTATCTGATTAGTGATATCATAACTGTGATTGAGGGAAAATAGCATAAACAATGCTGAGCCTTTTCTTATCCTACACTTCTATTCTCTGCTTTCCTAGTGTACACTTTACACTCTGAGGTTTTGAATAACCATACTCTATACCTGGAGTCTAAGAAACTTTGTAAATAGAGGCTGCAGAGTGAAGTTGATTTGGAACTAAAAGGTGCAAAGTAAGGTTTTGAAGTACAGGATGAAAAGTGTAACCAAGGGAAAATTTGAGGATGGTTTTTGTTGTTTTTCCCTTTTGATTATTTTAGTAGAGGGACATAGATTTATAGTTCCAGATAACGACGGATTGGAAATTTCATTGTCTAGTGGATCTCTTTTTGACCTTGATAAGGTTTTCATTCCCACTCATTCAAGTTTTATTTTTGGCTCTAATTTTCATTACATAGCAGGCGAAGGAATTTCTTCACTCATGTCTTGTTGTTATGACAGTGGATGCAGAGCTGATGCCAGTGAAGCTGCCATAGTTTTACTTCCATCCAACATTACAGTTTTCACGCTTGATTTTTCTGGATCTGGACTTTCTGGAGGAGAGCATGTCACTTTGGGCTGGAATGAAGTGAGTGTTTGTCTTTACGCAGAGGAATGGTCAGAGTCTCGTTTAAGAAATTCTGGTCTTTTGTTTTGTTTTGTTTTGTTTTTTTTTCCCAAATAACCTTCTTTCTTATTTTTGCCTAGAGATAACATCCAAAGGTAGATTTCTTAATGGCAACACCTGTATGAATCTCTCTCTCTTTGATTAAGTTTTTCCCCAGCATCCTACATTGCGTTGCCATACGTGTATTTTGCAAGTCCTTCCACAAAAGTTACATATAGTGGTAGATATTCTTTGGCTTACATTTCTGCATTTCATCAGGATTTAGAGGACATAACTAAATGAATGGTAGTTTGAGGAGCTCATACCTCTTGGTGGAATCTTGTAAGCTGCTAGTTTGATTCTATATCTGTATCTTGGGTTCAAATTCATCATGTTTATTTTGGGTTTCAGAAAGATGATCTGAAGGCTGTGGTCGAATACTTGCGGGCCGATGGAAATGTTTCTTTAATTGGCTTGTGGGGCCGCTCAATGGGTGCTGTCACAAGGTATTCCTAATTTATTATTGGTTTTGATTTTCATTACTTTACAGTAAGAACTACAGGATATGTTTTCCTTTATCCTGATGATTGGAGCTAACATTCCAACAGACTTGTTGTCCTCGAGGGTAATTGCTGATTAGAATCTGATTTAGCATATGGCTTCACGTTTTCAACTTGCTACCTTTGTCAAAACTCTTTTTGTACTCTTATATGTCCCTTTCCTTCTACTTCTTTTGTCCACGAGCCCTTTTAGGGTGTGCTTGGTTTGCAATAGCTGATGTTGAATGTTATCATGCTTTGGACTGTATGGATTCATTGCTTCAATAGAGTTTGTCACACCGCTGCTAAAGGAAAAGACAATGATCAAACTGTTGAGGTCAGAGATTTGGATAGTGAGTGCATCCATTAGTAGATGTCTCCTTTCCTTTGGACCATGACGTTATATGATGAGTTGTTAGTTCAAATTCACTTGTGGTGAACTTGGAACAATAAAATACGTTTGGCATAGTTTTTTCTTTTTTGTGCATATTGGGAGAAACACAGATTACGCACATCTGAGGATGGGCCTTATGTTCTTTTGGACGTTGACTCAACTGAAGTTTCTGACATGTTGTGTTGACAAATTTATTGACATAAAATAGTTTAGAAAAAATTCGTTGACTGTACGATCAATCCCTTCCTTTTCTATTCAAGCCAATTTTTTTATTCCAGCATTTACTACAATAACTAATTTCATCTCAGCACAATATGCTTCTTTATTTGGCGGTAGAGAACAATGTATTTGTTTGCTTTTTTATTTTGTGAACTAGACAGCTTTGGAATGTGATTAGGACATCATGATTCTGTTTTGTTTATATATATTAAAGGAAAACAGTCTAGTACATTTTTTTTCCATTTTAACCTTGAAGCATTAAACAACTTTCTTAAATGTGATGCACCATTTACATAATTTAGTTGGTAATTTATTGTAGGAGTGGTTTTCAGGTGAACAGTATAACAAGCTTGGGAATAATCGTAACATTCATTGTGTTTTCGGAGTCCCTTATTAGAAGTGGTTGGGCACAAAATGATTAAGATATGCTCAAGATGGTCTTTCTGGGTTCAATTAGATCTGGAATTGTTAATCTGATGTGTAATTTGTGCAATTTAGATGTGTCACAAATGGATTACTGTGGTCCCAAGTAGGCTGGGATTATGAATAGTCCATGTAAATATCATCTTATTAGAGTATTAAACAAAAACAGAAAGTTGTCATTTGGACTTGAAAAGCTTAATTAAGGCAATGTCAGGATAATCTTTTGGATCCAGCACCAGCATTATCATTTGTATTAGTTGAAATTGGCAAATTTTATATTTTGATCTCCTACTCCGTTACTCCTTCTGTCTCATTATCTGTATTAACCGGATTACTTAGCTAGTAACTGTTATTCATATAGAATTTCCTGTATGTCTTGTTTGAAACATGTAAATGACAAGATTTTACTGTATATTTTCAACTGCCTTTGTATATTAGTATTCCACTAAAACATAAGGAAGTTGTATGATTTTCTAAACACATGTTACTTGGTTCAGCACATAATCGGTGGGTCTGCTCATTGGTCTTATATCTCTCTGTTGCTTCCGATGTTAAAAATGATGAATAAAAATGAGAGTTCTCAATAATATTCTTGGTTTGGATTGAGTGCTGTAGTTGTTACATTGCAGTGGTCCCTATAAATTTTTTTACAGACTATGTACACAATCTCCATAAAAAGGATCTTCTGCTTGTTTAGTGGTAATTTATCTGTTTCTTGTTTGAAACATGTAAATGACGAAATTTTACTGTATATCTTCAACCGCCTCTGTATAAGTTTCTAAACATATGTTACTTGGTTCAGCACAAAATCAGTCTGTCTGCTCATGGGTCTTATAGCTTTCTGTTGTTTCTGATGTTAAAAGTGATGGATAATAATGAGAGTTCTCAATAATACTTGGTTTGGATTTAATGCTGTAGTTTTTACATTGCAGTGGTCCCTATAAAATCTTTTACAAACTATGTGCACAATTTCCATAAAAAGGCTCTTCTGCTTGTTTAATGGTAATTATCTATTTCTTGCAGCCTAATGTATGGTGCTGATGATCCTTCAATTGCTGGAATGGTTCTTGACAGTCCCTTTTCCGATTTGGTTGACTTAATGATGGAACTAGCAGATACACACGCCTTTCGCTTACCTAAGTTCACTGTGAGTTGCTAAATTCATTGTATCCTCACTGACAGTCTTTGTAATTCTAGATTTGGTAAAAACAAAAGAAACAGAGATAATAAGACAAAGATTTGTTCTATCTAAGTTTAAAGTTTATGCTCATAATTTGGTCAAGATTTATTGTATGGGGGGAGAGATAGACAGGGAGACAGAGAGACAGAGAGTAAGAGCATCATACTTATACTTTGGAAAAAAAAAATTAACAAAAAATAACAATTTTGAATAGTAGAAATGCACAAAACTTGGTCTTTGTTAACTTATCGACAGATAAAGGAAGAATATATGAAAATGATCACTTCTACGAGCTAAATAAGTCCATTCTTGATAAATTGTTTAAGGAACTTTGATTTTCCCTGTACATAGGAAATCCTGAATTTTCAATATCAGAAGTGTATTTGCTGAAAATAATTTAATGAAGCTTAGTGAGGAAAAAAAGGACTTCTCATGGTTGATACTTTAGTGAAATTTGGAACTTAAAAATTTGAGAAGTATTCTTGATGGAAATTATATAAGAGACATAGTAACAGTAAAGTTGAAGGACGTAGATTGTTGAGCAGCAGAGTTTTCCACAAAGCTGATATGTGTCCCACTAAAGGATTCCACTTGAATAGAAAACGAAAATTGAAATGTATATATGTCATGAAAGCAACATAAAAAAAATTATTGAAAATGAAGGATTCTACTGTTCTGGGTTGCATTGGATTTAGTGAGAACATGTCCACCTTTAATGTTTATCCTTATATGATATAGGTGGATGTAGAAATTTTGGATTTCTCAATTGTGACTAGTGGAAAAGTAGTGATCACCACCCTTAATGTTTCTTCTTATATGATATAGGTGGATGTAGAAATTTAGATTTCACAATTGTGACTGGTGGAAAAGTAGTGATGGTCATCATTCTAGTTAATGTTAACTGTTGTAACTTTGATGCTGCTTCTCAGTGTTATTGCAGCGAAATGCGCAATTTGATTGTCTATTCTGTTTCTGTATGTTCAATACAATACTGAAGAGATTGCACTTATTAGAAGGTCATAACAAGGTAAATGGCATTTACGTGGCTTTAGTGTTTAGGCTTTAGGGTATGTGACCTTTTTCCAGTTTTATTTCGTATTTTTCTTTCTTGCGGAACATTCTTGGTCACAGTCTTAAGGACATGACATAAACATGCTGGACCATTGGGCTCTGTGGTTTATGAAGGGTAATCTATTGTTTCCAATAATGTATGTAAATTCAGATGTTCACATATACACACTTAACAAGGAGGTTGACGGGACCTCATAAAATGAGAGTTAGAAATGTTAATATGATTCTCTTGATGAGGAGATCGCAGAAGGGAAACATCAATGTTCTTCGTTCTTTTGCAAGGTGTAGCTTTAAAAGGACTTTATTCTTTTGGCTGTATTTCTTGTCATTAGTATCTTTATGTTGTAGGGGTTTAATTTCATAATTTCCATTAAAAAGTCTAGATTTACCACTGACTATATATGCCAAACTACGCAAAGATTACTTGGACATGATGACAATGTCGACTTCCTAGGTCCTTTTCATGTTCAAACTCAGACCATCATTCAGTTGTTGAGGCGTGTTTTTCAGTGAATTCTAGGCATGACTTTTCAACCAGTATTCTTTGTCTCTTGACCTCTAGCTCTCATCTGGCTTATCTTAGGTCAAGCTTGCTGTCCAGTACATGCGAAGACAAATCCAGAAAAAGGCGAAATTCGATATTGTGGATCTCAACACCATAAAGGTTCTAATCTGCTGTTATTAATGCTTGTCTTTTCCAGTGGTCATTTGCCTATTTCATCATATTTAGCTTATCCAAGGTTTCTCTACTTACCCGGCCTTTTCTCCTTCACATATATATTTGTTTTTTGGGTTTTCATATTGCTTTTCCTTATATTCAACACTTGCTGAGTTTATCAATGGCGGAGAATATGCCGCCTGATAAGTTTATAAAATTTCTGGGCCTCATACTAGAGCCTAAGTTGAAAACTTTCATAAATTCACTTATAGAAATTACCAGCGAATGGCCGACTTTGTTTATGTGACTATCTTTAACAAAACACTTATTATGAGACTTTATCTTTTGCTTTCTGCCTATGAGAATGGATTGCCACTAACAGATTTTATGATGCATAGGGTAGATCTATTTGAGTGGACGTGGCTCGATTCTTATCACGTGCTTTACATGTCTCCCGCACAATGTTCACCCTCCCATTTGGGAAGGAAATAGTAATTGAGATCTCTGTTCAGATGTAGTTGATTAACTCGGAATGATATCTACTAGTTCATTCTATAGTCAATGTGCAAAAATGCTGGGTTTTTTTTTTTTTTTGCATGGAGAAAGAACCCTTTGATGAGAAAACTATTCGCATATTTTCCCTGTCAAAAGCTTTTGAGGTTCTTTTTGTAACCAAAAAAGAATAAGTTAGCGTTAGTCCTGCGCATAACTTAGAACTCTTATTGTAATACAAATAAGTCCTGCACAAAACTTAGGACTCTTATAGTAATACAAAACTGCAGTGGCAGTTGCATGGATTTTCATCTTGGAGTTTCTTCTACTTCCTTCACAAATTATCTATTAGATATTCTAGTTATTAATGTTGCCTACATGGAAGCTGCTAGTGACACCTCTTTGTTCTCTTACTTGATCAAACCTTTCTGATGGACATGGTTCCAAAATAGTCAAGGATCTAAACTGACTGGAAACTACTTTAAGTAATGAAATTTGTGTGGAAAATATAGCGACATATATTCTTTGACACAATAGAAGTAAAAATGATCTTACTTAATCGCTTGTTATAACGAAATGTTCTTCATCAATACATTTGCACTGAATGATTTTTTCATGGGTTTGCTTATGTTAGGTTGCCAAGTCTTGCTTTGTACCGGCTTTATTGGGACATGCAATTGAAGATGATTTTATACGTCCCCATCACTCAGATCGAATATTCGAAGCTTATATGGTAATGTCATTTCATATCGGAATTAAGAATATCCTCTTTGAGCAAAGGATGCAATGATATCTTTAACAATCACAATGCAAGCACTTTTAATTATCCTCAGAAAGCACTTCATATTAACTTCAGCATAAAGTGGAGCGAACTTTACGGAAGTCCATTCTTGTTAGGATTTGGTTAGAAACACTCGTCTGTTATGTGAATTGAAAGTGGATGGGAGGGTGTTGACTGAGAGAAAAGCATCCATTCTAATCTAATGTCAAGAATTCAGTTCCCACCTTCTTTGGTTTTTCTGGACATATAGTTCCCACCTTAAAATGTCAGTTACTGAATATTCTCGGCACATTAAACCATGAATAAGTAGAAATAACGGAATTACTTGAAGCAATATGTAAGATAAACTTGTAAAAAAATAGCTAATAGTATTTTTGGGTCAGAATCGTAATGAAATATAAACTGCCCAATAATGCAAAATATAGTTAGAAGAAATGGTCTCTTCACTGCTGCTGCCTAATAAGGTTATCTTATTCTGGTTAAATAAGGCTGGACCATAAATGCTATCGATTGGATGAAGTCTTCACAACTGATTAAAATGTTGAAATTGATAGGACTCTCACAAACTGGATAATTGTTTTACCAAAGTTTACACGCTAGAGAATCTTGTGCGAGGATAAATTCAGGGACTTTCTGGGAACCCAAGCCTTTAGCTGCAGCTCATTCGATCATGTTGTTTCTCTCCAGATATAATTCTTTCCACTGTGACACTACTGAATGATATGTTATTTGAATTCGCCTCTTGGATTTCCAATTGCTTTTTTCTAGGTGTTTATTTAAGCACAAAAACTTGAATGCCTCCCATGTTGCCACTCGCTTGCTATTGTTATTGTTTATCCAGCCCTTATGTGTGTACCACCTTTGGCTTGCCTTTTAACATGGTCTTTTCAGGGAGACAAGAATATCATCAAATTTGAGGGTGACCACAACTCCCCCCGTCCACAATTTTACTTTGATTCTATAAATATATTTTTCCACAATGTTCTGCAACCTCCAGAGGATGAGGTGGCAGGAACATATTTTGAACCTATGCTTGATTACTTTGGTAAGGTAAATTGAAATGCAAACAATCTCTTCTTAGTTTCCTTTGGTCAAGGTTGCAATTCTTGTCCACCCAGATCTTTACCAATGGTTCAATCATTTTCTTCAGGGAGATTGGAGTGGTGCGCATGAAGTCAGTCATGCCCTTGAACCTTCATCTGTAGCTCAAGGTAGGTTTCAGTACCGCTTCTGTTGTTGATGATTTTATTGATAGTGACTTTCAGCACTTTGTGCTCTCTCTCTCTCTCTCTCTCTCTCTAGCTGGAAAATTGTGGGCCCTCTAAATTCTCTGATTCTGTGAAATTATTATTGTAGGATCGAATGCTAGTACAGCTGATGCCATCAGACAATTGCGTACTAGGAGGCCTATGAGTCGGATGGAGGTCAGTAATTACTTGTATCATTTTGCTCTCATGTTTAGAGATGATAATTAATGAATGGAAAGTAGTGTACTCGATAAACATGTGCAGTTCTTGTGTAAAATATGCAATCTTATTGCCTGTTGTTTGTCCTTGATAGTCCATGAAAGAGGCTACCTACTCCTGTTCCTGTCTCTCCCTATGAAGACAATTTGTAGCCAAATCCAACTTTATATTATTTCAATGTTGCTGCGGTGTTATCAAAATCACTATAACCCCTGACAAACCACGATTCACTTACATCGTTCCTAGTTCGGGTGGATTTATATTCCATACATAAATTGGCAATCCAATCGGCCCAATGTAGTTCAAAAATATTGACAAAAATTAGATGGTGCTAGCTTTATTCTAAAAACTTGTTCCACAGCTTTAACCTAATGTAGGCCTTTGGAATCATAGATGTTGAAGTATATCTAGTGGTGTTTGTCAGTAGTTAGCAGGTGAATCTTAATTAAGGTTCTTAGGTTTTTGGGTGTCTCTTATGTTCTATAAATAAAGCCTATCTTATGTACTCTTTCATTAAGCCACTGTTTCATTAAACAATTCAGTAAAGATGTAGCCTTCTAATCTTTTCTCTCTTCCTCTCTCTTGAAGATCCTAGAACATTACATGTTATGAGAGCCACCTAGAGAGAGGTGCCCAAAGTAAAACCTTAGCTTTTGTTTCTTCTTGCGGTCAGTAAAAAAGAAAAAGGTTTATTCTTCGTCAATGTCGCGCTTCTGGTTCCACCTTCCTCATTTGACGCCATCAAAACTGTGCTCCCTGTCTCCTGCTCTCTGAGGTCGTGGCTCATTGTCCGCTGTGATCTGCCTTGCCAGCTAGGAGGTTTGGATCAAGTCAAATTCAGCAATCATCTTCTCTGTCAGTCACGAGCTCTCTCCACTGTGGGTCTGTCCACTTCTTTCTCCCCTGCCATTATTCTCTGTCATCTCTGTCAGCCTTCTGGCATCATAGCAAGCCTATCTTCCACCTTTGTTATTGGCAAGCACATCCCCTCTGTTTTCTTTTTTTTTGGTAAAGTACATCCCCTCTGTTTTCAATGTCTGTTTCTGTCAAGGTTCTGTTGTCCTTGTCGAGCCCAATCCATGCCTCACTGTTCGTCTTCCTCAGCCTTTCTCCAGCATGGTCAGTGACATATCCTTGATTGCCATCAAGGAGTCGTTTGTTCAGCCTCTCTGTTCATGACTCCTCTGCTGGTCAGGCTCCTTTCTGTTGCACATCTCATTGTTATTCATCAAATTCCTTTGCTGTCCTCAATCCTTCTCCTGTGTAAACATCATTTTGCTAGTCCATATCAGCGAAGCTCTCTGTTTTCATGTGCTTTCTGGTTTTATTTTAGGCTTGTGTGGTTTTTCAATTCACCATAAACAAAGAAAAGAAAGGCTTCTGGAAGTGGTCTTCAGCAAAATTTCCCAATTTTGGTCCTTTAAAACTTTTACAACCTCTATTGTAAATGTCATCCGTTGTGAGACTCATCTTCAATTGCAAGCGTCATTGACAAGCGAAGTCGCTGTCAAGATTCCAGGCTACTGTGAGCGCTAGAGTTCAGCACACCTTTGTTGAGCTGCTAGAGTCTAGCGCCGTGGGGTGATGCAATTCAATTTGCCACAATTCTTGAAGTCAGGTTCTCACACGATTTTATCCTTCTTGTTTGAGGAAGAGAAGGTGTCAACTTTCCAATTCAATTTGTCACTTCAGCGCTATAATCAAATCCAGTGTTGATGTGGATTACATTCAATTTGTCGCGTAAGGTCTAGCTTACACAATCGTCATGATGTCAAATCGGGTTTGATGTATCTATATTCATTATATAGTGTCAGGTTCGGCTTACATGGCACTTGAGTCATAAATTGTCGAAGAAAATTGTATCCAGTTGCAAGCTAAATGTTCAAGCTTGGGGGGGAGTGTTGAAGTAACTTTAGTAGTGATAGTCAGTAGTTAGTAGGTGAGTCTTAATTAAGGTAATTAGGGTTTTTGGGTGTCTCTAAGGCTCTATAAATAGAGCCATCTTATGTACACTTTCATTAAGCCATCAAGTAAAAATGTAGCCTTTGAACAATCTCTCTTGAAGATCATAGAATATTTACAATAGAAATTAACTTGGAATTCAAAGTTTTTCATATCGGACTTTGCTTTGCAATTTCAAACCAAAAACAAACGATTACATTCATATATTACATAGTGAATGACCTCAAACAAGTACTTCAAAGAGTAACGCGACCATAGCAGCCAACCGACCAACCGTACCCATATTTTTCAGGACAAGTAGCTCACTGCATATCCATCTGCATGTTACGACCTGTAATAAATCCTGATCCTGATCCAGATAACTGTATCAACTATCCAGTTGGACCGGGACATTTGCTTCTAAGGTTGCATAAGTCTCGAAAGTTTGATTGTATTTGTAGCATGAGTTAATATCAGTATCTGTGCTTTGCCTTATCTTCCTTTTTTGTGCTCAGGTTCCTTCTGATATCCCAGAAGCGGACCACCAGTCTATGACAGAGGTATGTTGTTGCCTTTTGTTGTTTCCATCTCAAAAGCTTATGCATCCCGAGTCAATTATACGGGCAACCTACTATTCTAATCCTTCAGTAATAATCCAAGGACCAGTCAATGGAAAATAGTTCTACGAGAGAGAAGAAATAATTGTACGACAAAAAAGATTTATTAGGTTCTATGTACAAAACTACTGGTCATCTTCACACGAAGTAATATTTTGCTGTAGGATGCAAAGGCTGAGGAGGATCCTCGTTCCTCGTCTTCCAAAATGATCAATTTTGAGCTGTCCAATGGTCATCCCTATGGTCCTCATGTTCCGGCAACATTAGAAGATGACGAATATGTGGAATACCAGCTTGATGACCCGACAGGCTTTCCATGCACTGTGGAAGAGGAAGAAAAGGTGTCTTAACATGTTCTCTCGCGTTATTTCCAACTTCAGAATTAGATTTACTGACCACATATATTGGATATTCAGATGTTGATGGAAGCTGTCATGATGTCATTAAAGGACCTGGAGATGAGACATTACAGTGAAAATGATCCTCTGCCCGACACGAGCACTGAATCTTTTGGGTCTTCACAGAAAGATGGTCAGGCCACTTCTTCCGCTACGGAGCTGTCTGAGGCTTCAAAAACTGATTCCATTTCCACCTCCGCGTCAGAAATCAATGGTCAAAATCAGACTTTTGACGCATTTCGTGATGCAAATACACCATCGAGCAGTCCGTCATGTGACAACCCACCCGCTGCAACTCAATCTGATACAAATTCATTGTCTAAAAGTCCGCTCGAAAATGCTCAACAAGTGACAGAATTAGGCGTTGAGAAAGCTTCTTCTGTTGGTACTGAAGGTCCAACAAGCATCCAGAGTCCCTTAGATACAGATATGTCGGGCAACACGAGAGCTACTCTGACTGTTGTACGGAATCCTTCCAGCAACATAATGGATGGTTTGATGCGTCGTTGGGACTTCGGCCTCTTCAGGAACAATAGGTGAAGTGAGTCAAACCTTTTTTTTTTAATGTTTTTTGATTGGGTTTGTGCACGTCCTCTTGATTGTTGGCATTGTTTTGTAACTACCATATATCAGAGAATGTAGGGTTGTAAAGATTCATAGAAAAGGAAAAAGGAACAAGAAAAAAGGTGGGGAAGAAAGTGTTGTACATACATATATGATGTTGCATTCCGTCAATTGACTAGTGATTTTTCGATAGAGAGAGTGAGAAACTTTGTATTTGCTTATTAATTGGATTCCTTAGGGGACGAATTCACACACCTTGACAATGCTTGACATTCGAGCAGGGTGTGGTACAATTAACCCTCCTTTCTAATATTTTCATTGAATGCCAACAACCAGATGAGATAAATGATTACAGTGCAGATGCACGATGGCTCATGTTTGAAATTATGAGATCAATTCTAGTCTGTTTCTTCTCTGGATGATGCTGCACTTACGGTACTTGGTTTTCCAGAACAAGAATCAGTTTTGAGTGGCAAACAATTGCCGAGATCTGGGTCCTTGTGGATCAGGTTAATAGCAGTGATTGATTATGTGAGTTCGACAAGCATTCCATAAAATCCTATTGCTGCGATTGCACCTGATCCATTGACCATGATTAAGGGTGATATTTGCCCTTTCGAACTTGCCAGGCTTCTGAAATTTGTGAACCTCCATTAAGACCTACCAATTTACGAGCGCCTACGGTGCATGAAATGTAATGCAGCAAATGCCAGGAGCTTGTCCAGTTAGGCCTCGAATGCACAATGCTCTGGTCCAAGGATCATTCTGCTGCATTATGGGAGTAGAAATTACAATGTCTACTTCATAAGGAATGCTCAGACGGAACTTTTCCTGGACGTACTGTGCTATGCAATACGAAGCTACTACAAACCGGACCATAGACGAAACGACCGGCAATGCCCAGCGCAGAAACTTGTCTGTGACATAATAGAAGACAAGCTCCTTGACACTGGCCCAGTAATCGATCAGGTCTAGTTTTAACTGCTTGCAAAGATAGGCCAGTGTACATGAGGCAGCATTTTTGTAATATGGAGTCTGCATTAGTTCTCAGAGAGTACGGCTTCCTTACATTGGTTGACACTCCCTGGTTATTTTATAAAGACTACATATCTTTGGTTGTGTCTTATCAAGTCCCAGTCTCTTTCCAGAAACTACATTTCACCATCAGAGACCGCGAGTTCATAATTCAAATTCATCATCCCCAAAGTTGAGCATTGTTTGGCCACTCATAGTCATGCTTTACAATATTTACAGCAAGCGATCCAAGCGGCGAAAGTTGGAAGAGATGAGCAGAAGCCTCAACCTTGAGGAAGCTCGGAATTGACAAAAATCTTGCAGCCACAAATCTGACCTAGAGAAATAAAAACTAGCTCAGATAATCTGGTTATACCACAAGATCCATTCAACAAAGAAAAGACACAAGAAAATAATACCAACTCGAGCAGAGGTGTACAGCTGAAGAAAAGTTGAAATTCAAGGGCAGATCCAATCTTTTGAATCAAGAATTCGACTTCTTGCAACCATTGATTATGCAAGCACGGGCAATGAAAAGTTGGTGGTCTTTAAGCATATCCTTCAAGGGGTCATGGGCTAATCATGAGCTGTCGCGTATCAGAAGGACACGGGCTAACCGAAGCCCGCTACAAAAGGGTTAGGGAATAGGCCAAGCTAACTGCGTGCCCGGTTTTGTGTTTACTTTTGGAGGGGCAGCCGTGCCATGGCCAATCCAAGCTTCGAAAGCAGCGCGTTCTCTCATCTACCGAAACCGAGTAAATAGCATCTACCAAAGCTTGCAAAGAGATGATACGGCGTATGAGATTAATGAAGGAGTTGGGTCTGAAGCAAGATGCATATCTGGTGCGTCGTGATTGTCAAAGTGCAATCCATGAATTCCACTTATCATGCTGGAACAAAGTACATCGATTATCCATATCATCGGATTCAGGAAGCTCTCTGAGGAAAAAAATCGATGAAACTTGTGAAGATTGCGAAGAGCGGAAATCCATAGGACATGATGACAAGCAAGAAACTCGTAGGAGCTTGGTTGGTATGCATGCCTGTTGAGACGGTTGGCTTCTTTTTCCAAAAGATATGCTCATGTCCCACCCACATTCAAATTGAAGGCACAAAACCTAAACACCAGCTCAGCCTCGACAGCTCCGCCGCCCGCCGTCAATGTCTCCGACCCGCTCACCCCACTGCCCCCCGACACCTCTGATGCCGTAGCCAAGCCGGCCCACCCCCTTTATCCCTGTCCCGATCTTCTTTCTCGTACACGAAGCCGCTCGGTCACACTCGCGGGCCTCTTTGATATGGAATTTTATTGCATATAACACGATAATTGCTAATGTCATTAACGTTAGGAGAATTTAGGATGTCATATCAAAGGAATTGCTGTGCAAGTGCAGCCAATGTATTGAGATACTGAGCAGATCAAGAATTTTCAATGTGTTGAATCATGTCAACACTCAAGAAAACAAGATCAACATGTTGCCAACAAAAGAAAGAATCTCCTCTCATTTGTGTATATGCTTAGGTATTTACAAAGTTCGTCTCTCTCGACTTAAATTTAGCCGTCCGCCAAAAGCTTCAACGCCAGCTCGACCAAGGAGTGGATGGTCATGTGATGCCGGCTCACCCCGACCGTGCCGGAGAAGATGTTGAAGCTCTCGACCTCCGACGTGGTCTCCAGCACGCGCTCCAGCTCTCCCTCCATCCCGAGGTCCTTGAAGGTGAGCACGTTCGTCTCCTTGTCCGTCATCATCCAAATCGCCAGCTCTATGGCGAACCGCCGTATCCTGGGTACCTTGATCGGCAGGTACCGGTACTTCCTCAAGATCTGGACGAGGGTGTCGGCCAGCTCGGTCTCCCGTATCCCGGCCCTCTCGAACACGGCGCTCGACTCCTTGCTCGTCATGTATCTGAAGACCTGGGCTGCTAGCCCGACCATCACCTCCTGCGGCTTGTTCTCTTCGGACATTATTGCCTTCAGAACCTGAAAATTCGGACACAACTTTGTGAGAGAAATATATCAAAATATTTTTTTCGAGTAACAAATTTATCCAAAACTAAAATCGGTACACTTGCGACAAATCTATTTTCGTTGAATTAAATTAAACGTGTCATCCAACTTGGCAATTTGACCGTAATGGAAGTGACTGTGACCAAGAAGAGACGCTCACCGTGGGTGCGGCGGCGGCGGCTCCCCGGAGCATCTCGAAGCAGCTGTCACCGCCGAACGCGCACAAGTTCCTCAAGATCCTCCCTGCGTTCACCCGCAGCAGCGGCTCCCCCAGCGCCTCCACCAGCCTCTCCAGCACGCCCAGCCTCAGCACCCTCCGGCAATTGCTCTCGCTCTCCAGCACCAGCATTGCCACCGCCTCCCCGGCCGCCACCCTCACCCTCCTCCCTGCCTTGTCCTCCGCCCCCGCTGCTCTCCCGCCACCGCCGCCGCTGAGGAAGATCCTCAGCAGCTCCCTCAGCACGCCACCCGTCCCCCCGATCTGTTCCGTCGCGTCCTCCTCCAGCGCCAGGCTTGTCAGGATCTCGATCCCAAGCCTCTGCATCTCCGGGTACCTCTCGCCGTGCCGGAGGATCTCCTGGACGTTCCCGATTGCGAACACGATCTCTGATATCTCCCTCCGGAGCTGCTTCCCGGTCGCCCCTGCCGTGCTTGCCAGCATCCTCACCACCTGGAGCGACCGCTTCACGGTGAGGACCTGAGAACTCGCGGCGGTCGCGTCCCTCAGGATTCTCTCGTCGGCATGCGTGAGGTCGATGATCTTAGGCAAGAGCCCCCTCGTGTTCCCGATCTTGCCGCAGTTGTCGTGGTCCCGGGCTAGTTTCTTCAGTATCAGAAGCCCAAGGTGGTTGAACGTGTCGAATCCGTAGCTCATGTGGCCGCCGTCAGAAGCGGCGGCAGCAGAGGAGGAGACTATCGTCTTCTCCGCGATCTCGTCCGCCGAGGCGGTGGAGGGCCGGCTCGTCTCGAGGAGCGACGAGATCGATTCCATCGCGCCGGGGATTCCGGAGACTCGGAGTGCGTTCCGCTTCTTCCCGGCGAGTTGCGACAGTATCTCCGCGGATGACCGCCTGATCTCCTCCTCCTGTGGGTCCTTCCAGTTCAGCATCTCGACGAGCCGCTCGATCACGGATATGTTGGTCCCGATCTTGCGGAGGGTGTCATCCGAGAACCGGCTGTTTGTCGCGAACTGGCGGAGGATCCTCACCCCGATGAGCTGCTCGTCAGGGGAGTTCGAGTCAAGCAGCTCCATCGAGAATGTGATCATGTCCATTCCCAACCCGTCGAAGATGCTCCCGTTGACAGACCGCGAGTAGGAGTCGTAGAAGAAGCGCCGGACCGCGATCAGGCCCGATTTCCCCAATTCGCACTCCCGGGTCACCTCCTCCAGGATCTTGCAGAAGCTCACCTTTAACTCCCAGTAGGCCTTCTCCATCAGGAACAGCAGGGCTTCAGCCAGGGCCAGCGAGTAGAAGATGGTCAGGGCGGCTTTCCGGTTTCTCTTGTCGGTGTCGCCTTTCGCGACTTCGCCGTAGTTGTGCTCGATGAGCTTCATCAGGGAGAGGACCACGCAGGCCGTCGCCGATAGGAGCTGAAGCCAGTACAGCAGTTTGCTCACGTTCCTGGAGAGGAACACCCATTTGCCGTAAGGCAGGAGCGGGACGTCCGAGGACGTCCACATCCGAGTCGGTTTACGATGGATGCCGTACGTGTTTGGCGAGCCTGCAAATTGTGCCGCTACGCCCCTGCTCTGCTGCTGCCTTCTCTTCTGAACCGCGGACAAAATGGGACGAAAAGCAGCTTTGAAGCTCTTGATCAGGAAGTGTGAGCTCGATTTGAGCGCGCGGAAGCTGTTGATGCCCGCGTCAGTGATCGACCAAGTCGCCTGGTGTTGCCACTCGAGCTCGTGGCTGCGGCTGAAGATCCGCGTCCCCTCAATCAGCAGTATGATGGTGATGAACCAGAAGTCGGTTTTATCCAGAGTGATGGCGAACCCGCCGAGGAGGACCACGGTCGCCCAGATGAACCCAAGCGTCCCTAGGTCAGTCGCGGCCTTCTCGAACACCGCAAGGCGAAGGGCAAACAGTGTGAGTTTCTTTTCCGGCGCATGGAACGCTGGCCTCGCCGAAGAAACAGATCCTGCATTGCTGCTGTCTCTCTTCTCGCTGCTGTTCCGCGGCTCAAAGATGGTGGTGCTCGAGCTGCAAGCGTCACCGAGCCTGCAACACTCGGAAATCTGCAACTTGACGCTGCCTTCGCTCTCTAGCGAATCGCGCTGATCCATATGACCGGCTTCCCAACGTTGCGGCCTGGAAACGAAATGC